AATAAATAAATAAAAATAAAATCTTAAAAAAAAAAAATAAATAAAAAATAAAACGACATGTTCAAAAGCTGGAAGGAGAACACATCACCAAGGGAAAATACAAAAGAATAGCGAATCTATAGTATTAGTGTCTTAGAAGAGAAGCATTTAGGTACACCTTTCAGAGCTATTAACTCTCCCCCAAAGCATACTTTTGGGAACTGGATTATTTAGAGCTGCAGACAAGCACAGGGCACTTCTTGCTGGATTTATTCTGGATTTAGGAGGTTTAAAGGCTGAGACACAGATAGATTTTTGTTGACCAGGCCCTATAAAAACTGTCATTCAGTAAAACTTTTCCAATTTTTGGTTTGAAAATTTTCAGGAAGGAATGTTGTAAATAACTGTTCTTTCATGCACTTACCACTCACAAGGCCCTTGCATTTCAGAGGAGAGGATGTTGGAAGGAAAGAGACTGTCTCTGCTGAGGAATTTGTTTTACCAACAAAGGGCCTCAGGATCAAATCTGTATTATAGCCACAGTCTGGGTAAACCGAGTCAAGTGAATGAGTTCTAGACAGAAAAAAGAAATGCAAACTTATGGAATGGATAATTCTGAAGACATTCATTTCTATAAAAGTCATACCCCCTTTGACTTTGAGTCAAAGAAAAATGAATGTTAGATTTATCTTTCTCATTTCATTGATGAGCCAACTAAAGCTCAAATAGGTTAATGATTTGCCCAAGGTGACACAGGTGACGCTTGAGGAACTAACTCCTTGGTCAGTGCTTTTTCTAGTTCAACAGAGTCCACCATATACACTGAATTTGTGTAAATTTCAACTACACGTATGCGACAAAAAGGAGAAAAGTATGTAAAACTTTATTTTCACGAAGGTTATTTATCCCATGATACATTATCACATATATAAAATATTCACACATCCGTATTATTGTATAGGAATGGATATACAAAGCATGTATAGTGTGCATTGAGGGTCATTTAAGAGGTGTTCCGGGGGTAATTTTGGCTATAAATGATTTGCATTTCATGTGAGAATTTAAAACTTAATCCCCTCCTTATAAAACACAATTCCTTGTGTTCTGTGTTTCTGCCTTCATTACACTAAAGGTCAAATCAGGACCCCCAAACATGAATTCATGGTGTAGGAGCCAGATATGATAAGGCAAGTGTTTGTTTTGTCATAAACACCAGCAAGGCAAATGGGCTCCATTGTATTTATTTGTAGGGTAGGATTGTGCCAATGGGGGAGTGAGGTAGGGGAAAAAGGAGAATCCTGGTCTGAATCTACTTTGGGTGGTTTTAACTCTCACTGCAGTCAATCATCAAAAATTCCCTAAGTGTCTGGTTCGTGCCTGATGGAGGGTTGTTACAGGCTCTGACCAAATGCTTCTCATTCCAGAGTTCTCCTACCAGTTCTCTTCTTCTCTTCACCTCACTGTCTTCTTCCTCACTTATTTCTAGCTCCTCTTCAAAACCAAACCTATAAATCGGTGTACAGTCCAGTTTACTGGGACAACCACTTCTGGTTCTCTTGTTAAGACCTGACTTGGACTCGCTTGAGTAACTGCAGAACTTAAAATGTGTGCTTCTTCAAGCCTGCAGAACAAAAACGTGGAAAAGACAGACTCTTAGAATCATAGTCTGTTGGAACTTTGAGATACTTTACAAGTAACCCGGCCCAAGCCCCTGATTTTAAAGATCTGGAAACAGAGACCCAGAGAGTTTTCTCGAGGCTGTACAGCTTTAGTGACAAAGCTAGTTTTTCTCACTACTGCTTAAACTCCTATAGGAGTTTAGATAAAGAAACATTATATGTAGATAAGAACAATGAAAAATATTCTTAGAAACTTGGATCTTCAGTCTTGGACATCATGTAGGCTGCATTTTCCTCTTTCAGCCCCAAAAGGAAATGTTATGCTAATAAAATACTTGTGGATTTAGGAGGACACATTGTGGGAACCAGTTATTGGAACTGAGAATGTTCTTATCAATGGGACAGAAAGGGAAGGAGATGACTTAGGAAGTATTCTTGGATGAACACTTGTCTGTATTTGTGGTGGGAAAAAGTTTTCCTCATGCTATCTGCTCTACAGGAGAAAAACCAGGGCCGAAGCCACAGCTGGGAGACCTACCTTGTTGCTTTGAACATATTAAGAACCTCTAATGTGTGTTCATTGTGGGAGCTGCTTTCTTCTTGGAACATGACAATGAAGTTCTTTTAAGAGAAAAGACCTTGAGGGGTACCTGGGTGGCTCAGTCGGTTAAGGGTCTGCCTTCTGCTCAGGTCATGATCCCAGGGTCCTGGGCTCGAGCCCTGCATCGGGCTCCTTGCTCTGCGGGGAGCCTGCTTCTCCCTCTCCCTCTGCTGCTGCCTCCCCCCCCACCCCCCCGTGCTTGTGCTCGCTCACTCTCACTCTCTCAAATAAATAAATAAAAATTTTTTAAAAGAGAGAGAGAAAAGACCTTGGTAGATTCAGCAATTGTGAAACAATCATGATGAGATTTTTAAAGACAAACAAAAGCAAGGGCTGATTCTTCATGATTATGAAGTATGGCTGCACTGGTTATTGGGGATGAGCAGAAAGGGACCACAGTGGCTATGGGCATTACAATTAGTGTGGAAAAGATTCATGGAGGAGATGAGTCTGAAACAAGTTTGAAGGAGGAATGAGAAACAGACTCTGGGATAACTTGGGTTGATATTTCTGGCAAATAAGTTGGAATCTAGAAAGATAGACTCTCACTTATAACTAGTGGCCTAATCTGGTTTGTTGTTTAAAGGTTATCGATATTCTGTGGAGTGATCCCAGAGACAAGAGAGGCTGTTACCCAAACACAAGTCGAGGAGGGGGCTGCTATTTTGGACCAGATATTACCTCCAAGGTTCTTAATAAATACCAGTTGAAGATGCTCATTAGGTCTCATGAATGTAAGCCCGAAGGGTATGAAATCTGCCACGATGGGAAGGTAAGCTAACATTGTTGGTGACATCATCACACACACCCTTGCCCCAAACACTCTTTCACCACAGGATGCATCTTACCTAGAGGCCCATGGGAAGGTGTCTTCCCCAGGACCAAAACAGGAGGCCATGCTTTGGTAGACAGAAACAGGAGACTACAGGGTTCACACAGGTTGTTTGAAGGGGCCTCACTGTGCCTCACCCTAAGAGATATTTGGCTTATTTCCCTGATCTTCCTGAATCCCAGAGATAGAAATTCTGACGTGTAGCTCTAAGTACACCCACAGACAGCCTTCCTTCTTTACTAATCGAAAGGCAACTCTCCGGTCCAGCGCGGTTAAGAATGTACTTACCCTCACAGAGCACGTCAAAGGCAGCAACAGATCCAGGTCGCTCTCTTTCACCTTTTGTACTTGCCCTGTGCAGGACAGAGCCGCAGAAGCCACGTCCCTTCTACTCACTGAGTAGGTGAGCTCTAGTGAGCCACCTGCTGTGGTCAGTTTAGCTGCAGCCACTGGAATGGAGTGTGTTGCGCTCCTTCACAGGTGTCTGGTAAGGCCGGAAGAGGGCTCAGGAACTGGTTTCTTGTTCCAAGCTGTCTTGGGATGTCCCTTTTCTACCAGAGAATAACAATAAATAAAACAGGATACCAAATCGTGTGGCATCTCTTTCTATTTCAAGACTTTCGCTTTTCTTAACTCCATTAGTTCACTTTCGGCTCCTGCTAATGTTGTGAGATAGTGAAGGCAAGAATTATTTAAGGTTTCTTTGTACTGAGAAAACAGAGAGAAAATAGCTTGTCTGAAGTAGCAGGCTGATGAGGGCAGAACTGGGCCCGAGCCAGGTTGCCTGTCAAGGACAAGGGTTACCCTGCCATCCCCCACCATGGCCCCAAGGCTGGTTCCTTCCCAGCAGAGTGGTCCTGGCCACTCTGTATTCTGGCCACTATTTTCTCTGCCCTTAAAGGACTGGTTTTGTAGAGGGCCCCAAGCCCTCTACATCAGGCAGCTTTAAGCAAAAGAAAAAGACTGAGAGTAGAGGAGTTTTATTTTGAACACTCAAATATCACAAGGAAAGAAAACAAAGGCTTTACCCGCTTGGAAAATTAGAATTTGCAAAACCAAGCGTTAAGTAGAATTCTAAGACACGGAACTGAAATTGTACACAGGATTGCAAGGCTATGCACTATGGGGATGAGTGGCTGGAAGTTAGTATTCCCGGGGACACTGATTTCAAAGCCTTGTTGCTCTCCAGTGGAATCACAGAAAATCCTGTCAGACTTGGATAATTTGGATGGATTTGGAACTTTGTTTGATTTTTGCTTTTTTAGGAATTGAGCTATTTCTGCTTTTATTGAAGGACCTTTTGAGAACTAACTCTATGTGAACCTGGCCCTCTTTTTCTTTAATCAGGTTGTTACTGTATTTTCTGCTTCTAATTATTATGAAGAAGGCAGCAATCGAGGAGCTTACATCAAACTGTGTTGTGATATGACCCCTCGATTTTTCCAGTACCAAGTAACTAGGACAACGTGCTCGAGGCCTCTTTACCAAAGGTGTGTATGCTCTAAGGAGAATTCTGAGCGCTGGTACTGGTGACCAAGTAGAAACAGTCCAGAGTGACTAAGAGCGGCCATGAGAGTGAAGACAACTACTTACTGGTTACTCATTGGTATAAACACAATAGAATTAGTTCCAGACACCAAGTGGTGAATGCATTCATATTTGAAACCAAGAGGAGCAATTTTCAATTCATATGTCTCTTTAAACGGGTAAAGCAGTCAGTGTCCACGAGCAGCCTCTAATTGAATGTAAAGAAAAGACGGTCCCCACATCCACCCAGTCCCACACCCAACAGCGCTCCCTGTCCCCCAAACAGCCCTGTGTGCTCTTGCCTGTTGGTCTCTTCTCTACCCAGAAGTGTATAATGACAAGAGTTGAGTGTCCCTCCATGTGATGGCATCCATAGCTTATCTTCCTTTTCTCCATTCAACGTGATCTTTTAAAGAAGTTTTCATTATAAAATGAGTATGTTTGTTGTTAACAAGTGAGACCAAACAAAGATGTATACAGAAAATGCTAATGATCTTCTCTCCCTCTCCTTCTTAATAATCCTTTTCCCCAGGGGCAACTGAAATTGGTAGCCTAGAGTGCACATTTCTTCCCTCTTCTTGCTCCTACAAAAATAGACAATCCATTATATTCATCGAATTTAAAAATTTTTTGAGCACCTACTATGTATCACACACTGTTCTAGGCACAAGCGATATGGCAATGAACAAAACAGACAAAAGTCCTTTCCTTCATCAGTTGCAGATCCTGGGGGAGGAGAAAGGCAGTCAGCAACATACATACTTTTTTTTTTTTTTTTTTGTACAAAGATAGAATAACACAGCACACTCTATTCTACAACTGACTTTTTCTCTAAAGATGATATCATGAACATTACTCCAAGTTAATACACATAGACCTAACTCAATCTTTCTAGTAGATGTGCCATAACAATTATGGAGTGACTAAATCCTATTCAATTGATGGCCATCCAGATTGGTTCCAGGGTTTTGCACTTAAAAGCAAAGCCATATATAACAAACACTTCTCTGTGTGTGTGTGTATACATACATACATACACACACATGCATACACACATACGTACATACACACGGGCATACACATAGCCTGTGTGTATGTATTTAAGATTTAGTGCTTTTTTTTACATAAAATTTCAAAATGTGGAATTTATGGATTTATGGTTTAAAATTTTGCTAGATATCCAAAAGAGTTTTAACAATTAACAATCTGAAAAACAACATACCGATTTTTCCACATCCTCATTAGTCTTAGATATTATCACACTTCTTAATTTTTGCCAAGCTGATGGATGAAAACGGTAAATCTCGTTGTTTTAATTAGCACTTTTTAGATAGCTGAGTTTGCCCATCTTATGTTTTTGGACACTGCATTTTTTTCTTCTTGGCATTTCCTATTTATATTATTCCCCCATTTTATATTGGGTTGTTTGTCATTTTCTGATCAATCTTTAGAAGTTCTTTGCAAATGAGGGACAGAGGATTTTTACCGTTACATTGCATATATTTTGTTGGAATCAAAATGTTGGTGTCTTCATTTTGCTTTAGTTCTATGAAATCACATTTATATATATAATTTCATTATATCTTTTGGATTTTCATCTTTGTTAGAAAAATGTCTCCACAGCGAGTTTGTATTATCTTGCATTTTATTATATTAGTAAGTTAATCTCAATTTATTTTAACAGCTTTGTTGAGACGTAATTCACATACGATAAAGGTGACCAATTTAAAATATACAGTTCACCGATAGTATATTTACAGAGTTGTGTAACCGTTGCCATAATCAGTTTGTAAACATTTTTGCCATCCTAAAAAGACAACTTGAACCCATTAGCAGTCACCAGTCACTTCCCCCATCACAACTCCAGGCAACCAGTAATCTGCTTTCTGTTTCTATAAATTTACCTATTCTGGACATTTCGTGTAAATGGGATCACACAATATGTGGTCTTCTGTGACTGGCTTCTTTCACTTAGCACAGTGTTTTTGAGGTTCATTCACATTGTAACATGTATGAATGTGTCATTCCTTTTTATGGCTGAATAATATTCCATTATATGAATAGACCACATTTTCCTTTTTTTTTTAATTAAAAAGTTTTTTTAAGTTTTTAATTCCAGTACAGTGAACACATCGTATTACATTAGCTTCAGGTGTACAATATAGTGATTTAACAATTCCATACATCATTCTGTGCTCATCACAAGTGCACACCTTACTCCCCATCACCTCTTTCATCCATCCCCCCACCTACCTTCCCTCTGGTAACCATCACTTTGTTCTCTGTAGTTAAGGGTCTCTTTCTTGGTTTGCCTCTCTCTCTCTCCTTTTGCTTGTTTGTTTTGTTCCTTAAATTTCACATATGAGTGAAATCATATGGTATTTGTCTTTCTCTGACTGACTGACTTCACTTAGCATAGTACTCTCTAGCTCCATCCATGTCATTGCAAATGGCAAGATTTCATTCTTTTTGATGGCTGAGCAATGTTCCATTGTGTATATATACCACTATTCTTTATCTGTTCATCATTTGATGGACACTTGTGTTGCTTCCATTATCTTGGCTATTGTAAATAATGCTGCTATAAACGTAGGGGTGCATGTATCCCTTTGAATTAGGATTCTTGTATTCTTTGGGTAAATACCTGGTAAGTGTGATTGCTGGATTAAAGGTATTTCTATTTTTAACTTTTTGAGGACCCTCCATACTGTTTTCCACAGTGGCTGCACCAGTTTGCATTCCCACCAACAGTGCAAGAGGGTTCCCGTTTCTCCACATCCTCGCCAACACCTGTTGCTTCCTGTGTTGTTGATTTTAGCCATTCTGACAAGTGTGAGGTGATATCTCATTGTGGTTTTGATTTGCATTTCCCTGATGGTAAGTGATGATGAGCATCCTTTCCTGTATCTGTTGGCCATCTGTATATCTTCTTTGGAGAAATGTCTGTTCTTGTCTTCTGCCCATTTTTAAATTGAATTATTTGTTTTTTGGATGTTGAGTTTGATACATTCTTTATATATTTTGGATACTAACCCATTGTCGGATATGTCATTTGCAAATATCTTCTCCCATTCCGCAGGTTGCCTTTTAGTTTTGTTGACTGTTCCCTTTGCTGTGCAGAAGCTTTTTATTTTGATGTAGTCCCAATTGTTTATTTTTGCTTTTGTGCCCCTTGCCTCAGAGGACTATCTAGAAAAAGTTGCTATGGCCAGTGCCAGAGAGGTTACTGCCTGTGCTCTCTTCTAGGATGTTTATGGTTTCAAGTCTCACATTTAGGTCTTTATTCCATTTTGAGTTTATTTTTGTGTATGGTGAAAGAAAGTGGTTTCATTCCTTGCATGTAGCTGTCCAGTTTTCCCAACAACATTTGTTGAAGAGACTGTCTTTTCCTCATTGCGTATACTTTCCTGCTTTGTCGAAGATTAATTGACCATATAATTGTGAGTTTATTTCTGGGTTTTCTGTTCCATTCTATTGATCTATGTGTCTATTTTTGTGCCAGTAACATATTGTTTTGATTACTACAGCTTTGTAATATAACAAGTCTGGAATTGTGATAACTCCAGTTTTATTTTTATTTTTCAAGATTGCTTTGGCTTGAATAGTTCACATTTTCTTTGACCATTCATCAGACCATCGATGGAAATTCGGGTTTTTTCCACTTTTTGGCTATTATGAATGATAATGTTTTGAACATCAGTGGACAGATTTTCTGCATACATATGTTTTCATTTCTCTTGGGTATATACCTGAAAGTGGAATTGTTGGATTATATGGTAACTCTATTTTTAACATTTTGAATAGCTTGTTAGCTTTTTTCCCCAAGGGTCTGCATGATTTTACATTCCCACCAGCAGTGTATGAGGATTCCAGTTTTCCCACATCCTTGCCAACCCTTATTATGATCTTTTTTATTGTAGCCACCTTAGTGAATGTGAGATAGAAGCTCATTGTGGTTTTGATTTGCATTTTTCTAATGACCAGTGATATTGAGGACCTTTGTATGTGCTTATTGAACATTTGCTTATCTTCTTTGGAGAAATGTCTATATCAGGTCATTTTTCAATTTTTTAAAAAAGATTTTATTCATTTATTTGAGAAAGAGAACAAGCAGGGGGAGGGGCAGAAGGAGAGGGAGAAGTAGACCCCCCCCCAGCAGGGAGCCTGATGTGGGGCTCGATCCCAGGACCCTGGGATGATGACCCAAGCTGTAGGCAGACACTCAACCAACTGAGCCACCCAATTGCCCC